ACTGACTGACCGACTGACGAACGATTTTCAGAACTTGGGACTGACATTGGACAGCTGTCAGAGCGTCGGATCGTACCAATTCCCCGCCCCATTGGGCACTTCGAAGGTACACGAAGTGAAAAATATCAAGTTAAAGGACGGCGGAGGTGGTGGCGGAGGGGCGACCTACGTATTTACGGTAAGCGATGATCGAGCATCGTTGATCGAGATTTTCGTATCGAGATTTTACGTCACTTTGTTGTTGTTATTTCGTTGCAGGTGAAAAGTAACGGAGATCAGTATCCGATACTCATCGCCGGAGGTGGAGGTGGTCTGGGGCTGGGACAGTTTGTCGACAACGGCCATCAGCACGGACGGGGAGCCGCTCCACCCGGAAGGCAACCCACCTCGGGTACCATCCTCTCGGCAGAGAAAGGTAATTTACATTTTTTTTTCTTTTTTTTTTCTCCAAAAAAAGCGAAAAAGAGAAAAAGAAGAAAAAAAGTGACAGAATCTCGCCATTTTTAAAGGCTGTTTAAAAAAATCCAACACCACAGTTGGACAGTGCTTCCTCGACGTAATTGCCAAGAAACGCAATTGATCGCGCTGCGTTTGCCAAAAATTGCCCATTCGCAGATTTACGTGGTTTAGATTTAGGTTAGGTTTAATCGAGAAGGAAAGAAAGGAAATCGGAAGAGGAAGCTTTAACACGACCAACGCCGTAAATCAAACAAATAAATCGCGAGTGTGTCACATTGACGATGGAGATGGGTTTAATAAAAAAAAAGTGAGAACAAATGGGTAAATTTCACTTCACGAGTGAATACGATTCACTGAAACAAACTCATACGTTTTATCAGAAGAGAAGAAGAAAAAAAAATGATCAAACTTTGAAAGAAATGAAACTTTATTAGCGCGATTCGCACCAATTCCAAAACGACTCGAGGTAATAAAGGTAATAAAGAAAGAAAGAAGTTATAATCCAAGACTGAGACTTTAAACTTAAACTCGGGCGTTTAGGTTCTTTTGTAATATACCGGGTGTGCACCGAGTGGGGTCGCTGAATCTGTTGACTGGTAATTTTGAGAATAGGTGAGATTAAGAGTTGGAACAAACTGAAGAATGGCTTCTGCATCTCATCGGTGGGAAAGAATTTTTTTAAACTGCTGACTTTTACTTTTTACGCTATTTGTAGCAATGCGTTTTATACGTTTAGCGTGTGTTGATCGTAACGTAAATG